GGATGCCCAACCACCACTCTACCTCACGGTCTGGGTGCTGCTCCTCTGCTGTGTCCTATTGTTTAGTGCCTCCGTGTCCTCTGGTGCCTCTGGCACCTCAGGCAGGGGTACGGCATCTACTCTGCTGGTAGTGTTCTTAATGGATATAGGATTCCTCTCCTCCTGATTCCAAGATGGCTCGCTGTTATACCTACCCGAATGGCAAAGCTTACCAATCACCGAGTGAGAATCCTCTAGATCAGTGGTTCTGAACCTGTGGGTTGCAACCCCTTTGGGGATCGACCAACCTTTGCACAGGGGTCGCCTAAGACCGTGGCAAAACACATAAATAGTTCACAATATATAATTACATATTGTTTTGTGATTAATCACTATGCTTTAATTAGGTTTAATGATGTTCAGTTTGTAACAATGAAAATACAGCCTGCATACTGTGATTCATCACAGTAGCAAACTGACAGTGATGAAGTAGCAACGAAAATAACTTTAAGGTTGGGGGTCACCACAACACGAGGAACATTAGCAAACAGAAGGGTCGCGGCATTAGCAAGGTTGAGAACCACCGCTCTAGATCTTATTTGTATGTTCCCACCTGATATTTTGGTAGGAATTACAAGGACTAGAAGACCCATATCTAGCAATTTCACTCCACTCCACCGCCCTGGTGTTATTCTTCCCCTTGTTGGTCTGGTTTTTGGCTGAAAATTGAGTCACGGGGATGAGCAGTTCTTGACCTGAGTGTGATTAAGTCTTGGTGTTTTCTGTCTGTCCATTAACACTGGTGTCTTCTATAGTTTTTAGTTTGTTCCAGGTTTGCTTTTTCCCCCCTCTCATTCTATCTAGGACCTTTCAAAGTAGTTGGTAGTGGTAGCTGGGTACTATTTAATTCTTCTGGTTTCAGGATCACAGAGTCTGAAGTGTGCATGCATATGAATTAGTTTCATCTAATTCATGAATGTTCATTTCTCTTCTTTCTTCCAGAGAGGGAGACAATAGTTGCTCCTTAGATGGTCACTCACAAGGTTTTAAGATCTCAGTTACGTACCAAAGTAGGATGGAAAACACTGTCTTTGTGGACTATGTTTTTGCAATTTTTACCTTAGTAGCTCCCGACTATGGTGTTGGGCCTCCAGACCCCAGGTGTTTGGTTCTAAGTTTGCAGGATTTTGACCCTTAATGTTCCAGCATATTCATGGATATAGCAAATCCTTTCTTTCCAGTTTCACGCAGGCTTGCTAAATTTGAATTTCAAAAGATGTGACTGGGTGGAGGGCTAGAGCCCATCTTGTGTCCTGATGCCAGTTGATCTTAGTGAAAGGGAGGGAAGGGTTCACTCAGTCATGTTAGGATTAGCCAATGGTTGATCTTCTATATTTTGTCTTCCTTTTTTTTCCTTCCATTTTTTATTTTACAAACATGAGTAACTGCACTATTTAATTCAAATAGGCTGTACTACAAAGCAGGTAGCCAGTGGATATGACTGTCTCACAATCAAATGTGGGGGTCCTGGTGGCAGACATTGGGCTGCTAACCACAGGGTCAGCAGTTTGAAACCACCAGCAGCATCACAGGAGAAAGGAAGTTTTCTACTCTCAGAAAGATTCGCTAGTCTCTGAAACCCACAGGGCGGTTCTTCTCCTTTCTACAGGTTGCTGTGAGTTGGAATCGACTTGATGGCAGTGGCCGGTGGCTTGTTTGTTTTTTATATGCGCATATAGAATAACTGCTCAGAGTAAACTTTATATTCAAATGCTACTGAGTTTTGATCATTTGTAACAGCTGTTATAAACATTCAGGTACCCTTTTTTTTTTTAAACTTTCTATTTTATTACTATTTCCTTAATATGTATGGTAGAAGGACTTGCTGTAGCTGACACACAGAATCTCGTGCTTGGAGGGGGCAAGAATTTGAGATTGGGGAAACCAGGGTAATAGGAAATGTTTCCTACAAACAATAATGATGAAGAGTTAACCAGTAGTTATTGGCGGGCAGTGCGGGTGGGGGGTGGCCAGGACTTGAGCAGGAAAAAAAAGTGTCAGAGCAGACCTGTAGATGTGATGACGTACAGTTATTTCAGGATGGTTGGAGTCACCTTGCAAGGCTAGAGATGAAGCTTTTCTGTGTCTTCCCTCAGTCTTGTTGTGTTTTAGAAACACAGTGCCAAGACTTTAGCTATTCAGCCAAATGGGAAAGCAGCCTCCCTATTGTGATTGGGAGGAAACGTGGCTTAGCTGTGGCTCCTCAGGATTTGAATTTAAGGACTTGGTCTAGCTCTCTGTACCTGTTTACTTCTGCTACTAAACTTTGTCTGAATCCCTCAAGCCTGGGCACAGTGCCTGGCAGCAAGATCTATTCTATGGATGAACAGGTTGGCCACACAGACCCTGGGGGAAACGGGCATTACTGCTTTTCATTATTGACAGCTTGGCATCCCCAGTGTGTGATCTGGGGTGTCTCTGAGGGATCAAAAAGTTACTAAGTAGCTGTAGGCCTCATCACAGATTTGCTAAGGAGAAGCTCCTCTCTGAGCAGTGATGACCTGCACATTGCCAGCCAGTTCCCTAAGTACTCCAAGTTAGGAAAGGCCTGCTGATTTGATTTTATCTGACTTTTAAAACTGATCTTTGATCATATCCCATTCCTCCCCTCTTCTTCAGTTCTCCATTACTGATAGTATCTAATTACCTCATCGCTCCTTAATTTATGTATGAAAAGGCTGAGAAATCCAGAGTCCTTTGGGAAGCTTCTTCCATTTCCCTTTCTCTCCTTTTAGAATGATAAAATCTCCCTTTTCTGTCTCTGCAAATTGAAATTGCTCTTGCAAATTCAAATCAACTTCCTTCCCAGGTTTGGTGGCCGTTCAGCTGTGTGGGTTAACTTGACTTGCTGTCAACAGACCAATCAATCTAGAAACCAGAATTCATTGATCCCGTGGACACTGCTTTCAGGACCAGCTGAGAAGTCTTTTGGATGTTTTCATTTTCTTATACACGATGGTGTAGACATCCAGTTGACTGACTCAAAGGGCCCCTATGTAGAACAGAACAAAGCACTGCTGGTCTTGCAACATCCTCACTATTGTTCCTATGTTTGAACCCGCTGTAGCCTCTGTATCAATCCATCTCTTCCTTTGTCAATGTTGCTTTATTTGTCCTTCTCTATGGACTAGTCCCTTCTGATGAACTCTCTCACCATACTTGTTTGGTTTTTTTTTGTATAAGAAAGTTTTATATACAATTTCTCAATTGAACATTGAGAAAGCATTCCAACCCAGGCCAGTCCAAGGCCATAAGTCTGATATGATCCTATCTGTCTGATACTAATCTATGAAGCCCTCTTCAGACTCACAAAACACATGCAATGAAGCCAAATGCAGGATGATCACCAGCCAGTGGGTAGAAAGTCTTTGGGTCCAGTGGCGTGGTAAACATCTCAGCGAGTAGGGGTTTTTCTGTGGCTTCTCCAGGTCCAGGGTTCTGGCTACATCAGGGTAGGTCCATGTGGCTTCTCCTCAGGGATGTCTCGCAGGAAGTCAGCCTTGTCAGTAGAGAGTCTCCAGGGAAGTGAAGGCGTCTCCCCATACTTTTTTTTTAAATCATTTTATTGGGGGCTTGTACAACTCTTATCACAATCCATATATCCATCCATCGTGTCAAGCACATTTGTACATATGTTGCCATCCTCATTTCTACTTGAGCTCTTGGCATCAGCTCCTCTTTTCCCCCCTCTCTCCATCCTCCCCCATGAACCCTTGATAATTTATAAATCATTATTGTTTTGTCGCCATACTTGTTCTTAAGGAGCATTCTGGTTATACTTTTTTGGAGACCTATTTGTTCTCCTGGCAGGCCATGGCATATTCCATACTATTCCTCAACATCAGAAATCAAAGGCATTAATTCTTCTTTGGTCTTCCTTCTTCAGCTCATTTTCCTACAAAATGAATATATCCATATTTTACAGAAGAAGTACATGGATACATTCATTTTGTAAAATGCTCAAACAACCGAGAACTATATAGAAAAGCGAAAGGCTTTCTTCTAATGTTCTTGCATTTCCACCCCACTACTGTTTGAGATGTATCTTTGAATGCATCTTTAAACTATGTACTCCCCCTAACTATGTACTTTCATACTAAGAAAAAAATTAAAAAGCAAACAAAACACTGCTATGAAACTGATTCCGATTCATGTACATCTTGTTTTTAAACTTAATGGTATCTACTTCAGTATCATTATCAAATATCAAGTAAATGACATTTCATCTTTTTTTTTCCAACTCACAGTATGCACCACACATTCTTCCTCCTCAAACTACATACTAATTGGTGGATTAATATTTCATAAGATCATTAAGATTTTTTCAACCTTATTAATAGTCGTTTTTAATCTAGCCTCCAAATGCTCAATGTCACAAGTACTAGTTCTCTAGGAATTAGTCATTCAACACTGCCTTAATGTACTCAACACACTTATCGTGAGCTCCCCAGGTGCCAAGCACCGTGCTGGGGTTGGAGACAAAAAAATAAAAGTTACATGAAAATAAGATTTAAAAGAGGTGACTGAAGGGAAAGCGGCATTTTCTTTCACTGAGCCGGAGAACCCGGCTGAAGACCGGTCTCTACAACAAGGAGGCCGCCTGGAGCGTCTCAGAGGATGTGAGACAGGAGCTGTAGGCCACAGAAACTGAGGTCGCCTTGCATCTCCGTTCGGGGTCTGGAAGGAGCGGGGAGGGGCGCGCAGTACGCACAGCCGGACGTCGGGCGCAGGCCTGGCGGGGGCGTGGCCGAGCCGCGCGCGACCCTCGGCGCTCTCGCAGAAGCCCGGACCGGAGCGGCCTCTCTGGCCCCAACTCTCGCGGGCTCTATGACACCGCACAGGCTCGCGGGATGGGCCCGGGTCGACTAGGGGGAGGAGCCTATTCCTTAATCTGAGTCTCGCGATGAGATTCTCGCGAGGTTGAGAAGTACCGCGCCTGCGCACTCTAGTGGCTCCTGGAGGCGGTGGCAGGCCGGCTCTCGTGTGTGAGGAAAGGGAGAGTGGGCCGCTGGCATTTCGCACCTAGGCGCTCGCCACGATGAGCAGCACCCTAGCTAAGATCGCGGAGATCGAAGCCGAGGTAATAGGCGCAGCCGGCGCTGCACTCCCTGTCCTGGCGTCCTTTTATCGGTGGCGTGGCACCTCCCTGGTGTTCCGATAGCCCCGTCAGCGCGGGCCCCAGTACTCTTCCATCCTGGATTTCCAAACGCCAGCCCCTTTCAGCCCGGGCCCGCGTTCCCACCTGCTGTCAGCCTCGATTCTTATCCTTCAGCTCCCTTCATGCTCGTTCCCCCGACCGGGAGTCCACGCAACCTGGGCCTCCCCGCGTTCCGCGCTCCCAATCTTGAGACCCTTAATCTGTGTCCCCTTTTAATATAAGCCTGCGTCCCGACGTCATTCTCTCTACGAGGTTCGGTTCCCTTGCCTCTACGCCCACCCGCCCTCGGGCTGCAGGACCCCTCCTCTTCCCCTGTCCCGTTCCCTTGATCCTCTGCCTCCCGAGTATTGCTCCCGAGGATGAAAGTAGGGAAATAAGTAACAGTTGATTCTTCCCCGTTTATTCTGTGATTCTATTGCTGGGGGGGGGGCGCTCAGAGTAGCCCTAGTGGTGCCGTGGTTAAAGCACCAGACGTCAAACCCCAAAAGGTCGGCAGTTCCTACCCACAGGAGAAAGGGGATCTGTTTCAGTAAAGATTGTTGTTTTTAAGTGCCATCTGGTGGCATAATGGTTATGCATTGGGCTGCTAGCCGGAAGGTCAGCAGTTTGAAACCACCAGCCCCTCTGTGAGAGAAAGATGAGGCTTCCTACTTTCTTAAAGCGTTACCGCGTTGGAAACACAGAAGGGCAATTCTGCCCTTTCTTCTCTTTTCCTAATGAGTGGCCATGAGTGGGAATCGACTCGATAGCACTGAGTTTTGGTTTTGTGGTTGTTGGGTGCCATCCGGCCAGTTCTGATTCATAGCGACCCTGTGTGCAACAGGAGGGAACACTGCTGGATCCTGCACCATCCTCACAATTGTTGTGTTTGAGCCCATTGTTGTAGCCACTGTGTCCCTCCATCTCATCAAGGATCTTCTTTTGGTTTCAATTCATCGTGACCCTGTGTACAGCAGAGGTAAACACTGCTTGGTTCTATGCTCTGAGCCTATTATTACAGCCATTGTATCAATCCATTTCCTTGAGGATCTTCCTCTCTTTGAAGAACCCTCCACTTGTTATCAGGATGTGAGACCAATACTTAGCAGTGAACCTGGCTCACATTTGGTAAAGTCAGTAAAGATAACAGCCTTGCAAATCTCAGATCTCATTAGACATTTGGAATTGGTGACTATGAGGGCCCATTGAGGTCCAAGCAGTAGAAAAAGCACAGCTCCTGGGTTTTAGTGTATTTTGTGGCATGGCCTAGGTCAAGTCTTCCAGCCACTGTTGCTTGCTTGGTAATAAGAGGAATGAGCTGGGTGATGGAAAGAGAATTCCTACTTCTTAAGTCAGTAAAATAGGTATACTGACATTAGTAAGATGCAGAGAGGGGGTGCTTGACACAATTGATATATGTATGGATTGTGATAAGAGTTGTCTGAGCCCCCAGTAAAATGATTAAGAAAAAAAAAGTTACAGAGAGGGGAAAGAAGTCATTCATGGCTAAGGGAGCATTTGTTCCAGATTTTTTATTTTGCCTGTGGAAACTGCTTCTGACTGTGATTCCTCTCCTAGATGGCTCGAACTCAACGGAACAAGGCCACAGCACACCACCTAGGGCTGCTCAAGGCACGTCTGGCTAAGCTTCGCAGAGAACTCATTACTCCAAAAGGTGGTGGCGGCGGGGGGCCAGGAGAAGGTTTGTGTGACTCTTCAGGTCTTTTTCTCTTTTCATGTATTTATTTTGAATATCTAGTCTTTCTATGAAAAAATACCGATCTGTAGTTTAAATGGGAGAAAGACGGGGCTCTACTCCCATAAATAGTGACTGTCTCAGAAACTCATTGGATAGTTCTACTCTGGCACTGTGAGTTGGCATCGATTAGATGGCAGTGAGTTTAGTGTTGCGTTGGAAGTTTCAACAGGAGCCTTGGTAGCACAGTTGGTTAATAATTGGGCTGCTACTCGATAGGCTGGCAGTTCAAAGCCAGTAGCGTTCTGCCCAAGAAAGGAGAGGTAGTCCGAGTCTTGTATTCTGCTTTGTAAGCTCATCACTATGAGCTGAAATCAACTGGACGGCAGTGTGTTGGTTGGTTGGTAGTTTTAAAATACACTGCGCTTACATCAGGAGCACGTATACTAAACTTAGAACAGTACAGAGAAGACTAGTATGGCCCCTGTGCAAGAAACGTGTTTTAAAAACTATCCAGAGCTATTGTTTCTCCCCACACCCTTCATCCTCTAGCATGTCCCTGAAGAATCCTTTGCTCCTTAATTTCATGTCAAAGTGGCAGTCCAGGCATCCTCAGGAGCGTCAAATATGTTCCTATTGAATGCTCCTTGAGTTTTAGAAAGAAAATGAAGGTTGAAGGGCCAAGATACAGGATGTTAATGGTTGTTATAGGATGGTTACGGTAAGGTTTCCTAATGAAATTCTTACAGGACAGCCCTTGCTACCCTTGAACAATGAGCAGGTGCATTCCTTTGTGTAATTTGAAGTTGGCCTTTTTATCGCTAATGCAGTGTTCTCTCTTTTTTAAAAAACTTCTTCATAAGATGTCCCTGGGATTTTCCTGGGTCCTTTAAGAAAACCTGACAAAATTAAGATTCTTTAGAATCCCCCAAACACTGTCACCATCATCTTCTGACCTGAACACTGCCTTGAATTGAACTGACACAGTAGATTCCGTCAGAAGCCACTGTTTTGATTAGTCCTTTTTCGGTTGGTTTGTTTTGAAGCAGACACCCTAAGGGAATCACACAAGGGTATTGCAGAGAGAACTTGTTCGCAGCCATGGTTACACACATTTTGTTTGGGATAGCCTGTGAGTGTAGGAGCTGGGACTTCAATCGCAGTGCTTTTTGACTTACCCTCAGACACCCCATGCAACAGGAGAGGCAAGTAGGGCAATCGATGCCAAGAAAAAATGAAGGAAGAAAGAATAAGTTGAAGCCAACAGAGAGAAGGTTATTAGAACCAAAAGGAGAAAGGTCTGTGTACTTGCCCCCATTTTGCATTGAACTTGTTTGCAGCCACTGTAGACAAGAGGAAGACAATCCATTCTATAGTTTTCAGGGTTTCACAGGCAAAAAGGCTGATTTTCTTTTTTTAAAAATTTAGATTCATCATTTGGGCCTTAAGTGTTGTTGATACTTGAAAGCTATATAACCATTCCAAGAGGAAGTGGAATAAAAGTTCTGCCTAACACCGCAGTGAATGCTTTACATTGCTGCACAGGCAATTTTGTGTGCTTTAACCTCTTTAGAGGCAGACTAGAAAGTTTGACAGAGAGGGCCTAGAAGGGTAGGCAACTAAAGTGTGAATTTATTAAATAGTGCTCCAGAAATAACTCTTCCTCGTTTTAACCTTTATTGGCGTTTTAGGTTTTGATGTGGCCAAGACAGGTGATGCGCGGATTGGGTTTGTCGGTTTTCCATCTGTGGGGAAGTCAACGCTGCTCAGTAATCTGGCAGGGGTGTATTCTGAGGTGGCAGCCTACGAGTTCACTACTCTGACCACTGTGCCTGGTGTCATCAGATATAAAGGTGCCAAGATACAGGTGAGTCAGGCCAGCAGGCCAGGAGTTTTAATTTGTTTAAGAAGTGCTTATTAGGACTTCACTGTATGTCTGACCTGATGAGGGCGTGGAGCCACTGGGCTCCTCATGCACTGCGGGTGGGGCTATAAACTGGTACAACCACTGAGAAATGGTTTGACATGTCCCTAAAAAGTTAGAACTAGGAATATCACTATGACCCAGCCTCTCTTTGGTATATATCCTGGAGAAGGACAAGCCATGGACACCCATTTCGTCACAGCACCACTCACAATAGCGAAAAGATGGTGACACCCTAAATATCCCCAGTGGAAGAAAGGATAAGCAAACTATGTATTTACACAAAATAGGATATTACATAATGTTGAAGAGTAGCACTATGAAAAATCTAGAAACATAACAAGGATGAACCTGCAGGATGCTATGCTGGGTGAAATGAAGCAATTACAAAGGGACAGATAATATTGTATGAGATAACAATTGTAAAAAGTAAAGAAAAGGTTTTCATACTAAGAAAAATAGCCTTCGATAGTTACTAAGGGTGAGACGGGAACAGAGACAAGTCAGTGGCTATGAGACAGGCATGTGTTGAATTGGATGAAAAGAAAGGCAATATACAATAAGGGAGATCAGGCAAAAATGATGGAGGCAGGGAAAGACAAGAGAGGAGTAGCCAAGTTAAAAGGAACAGAGGTGAATACTATTATATGATGTGATGGAAGAGTGGGGATATACCCACAAATATATGTAGATCTGACAGGATATTTGTACATGGGTATTTCCCTTTGCTGCAAATATATATTCTGAATGTGTATTCATATTCAAATTTTTCAAAATACTGTCCATCCAGTCTGCAGGCCAGTCATTGCCTATGTGGTACCTAAACCTCTTTAGGGCACCGCTGGAAGATACTGGTTGTGGTTCAGCTAGTATTTGAGCACCTTCAGACACAGGAATTCATTACCTCAAGGAGTGCCCTTCCACTTTTAGGCAGTGTTAGTCTTCCCACATTCCATGAAGGTTCAACTGAGGAGGACTTACAGCACTTGGGGATAAAGATCTAGGACTGCAGCCTTCAGTATGGACTATGAGAGAAGACTAAAACTCACAACTGCACCAGTGAGTGGGTAACATACATGGAGAAAAGGTTGGCGCTGTTAAGGATTTTGTCTTGCTTGTATCCACAATCAATGCTTATGGAAGCAGCAGTCAAGAGATCAGGGAAATTTTCAATTCATTAAAAAAACTATTTAATGTTTCACTTATGTTTTGCTGTTGGTATATAATTTAACTTCAGTGATACTGGCTTACACAATTCTGTTTTCTCCAACTGCAAGCAATATCAAAACAAATAGCTCTAGCATTCACACATTATGACTTTAGTTTTCTGCCATGTTTTGCCCCTAAAAATGCCCCATGAATGTCTATTGCCAATGCAATTTGTCCTTTGAGCGCTTTCTTCTCAGGTGTAGTCTCAGTGGTGGCACTGCTAACACATCTTTTTCCTTTTATCCTCTCCTGAGGTGTAACTTTAAAGTCTTGGCCTGGAAGAAGAAAGGTGGCCGTGCAATGGCTTTAGAATCGGCATGAATCTCTGCTCTGGCTTCTCAGTCTGTGCCTTTTATACGGAAAGAGCAATGATGATTTCATCGTCACACTTCAAGCTAATTCTGTCCTCTCAGTCCTAGTGACCCAGCCCAAATGGTAGGCTTGTTTGCAGAGCATTGGGGGTTAATATTGTAGTTATTCCTTGCCCTGAGTTTCCTTTCAGAGCATGACAGCCAGGCCTGGCCTGGCCCAGGGGGTCAAGATGCCTCTGATCTTTGCACGGGATTGCTCTTGGAGTTCCACTTGGGCTCATGTTATGAGAGTTCTTTTGTTCATTTTTAATTGGATTTTCTTTTTGAGGCTTTGAAGTCTTCTATATTTTAGAAATGAATCCCTTGTTTGATAATGCCAACTTTTCCCACACTTCGGGTTCTCTTTTTATTTTTCTTACTGAAAAGTTTAGATGCACGAACGTGTCTAATTGTTATGAAGTCCGCATCATTTGTCTTCTGGTGTTTGTTGTCACTTGTCTGACAGTGTATGCCATTTATTAAGGCCCTTGGATTATCTCTATGTTTTCATCGATGATCTTTATGGTTTAGGTTTTACACTTAGGTCTTTGGTCCATCTTGAGTTTGTTTTTGTGTATGGTGTGAAATACGGGTCCTGCTTCATTTTTCTACAAGTTGCTATCCAGTTTTGCCATTTGTCCCGCGATCTCTTTCCCACTTAATAGCCATTTGGCAAAGATCAGCTGTGCGTAGGTGGATGGATTTCCTTCTGGCTTCTCAGTCCTGTCCACTGGTCTTTGTGTCTGTTCTGACTTCTGTGCATAAGTAGGTTTTTAGTTCAGGAAGTGAGAGGCTTCCTACTTTGTTCTTCTTTACTGGTGCTCTGCTTATCCCAGGCAGTTATTTTCAGTTGAGGATACGTACGCATCAGTTTCTAGTATAATATTTTGAAGTACAGCTCAGTGGCCTTCCAAATTAGAATCTACAGATGTGAGGCTCAGCTGTGTTGTTGCTGTTAGATATTGTCAAGTCCTTCTGACTCATAGCAACCCTGTAGACCAGGGTTCTCAGCCTTCCTAAGGCCGTGGCCCTTTCATGCAGTTCCTCACGTGGTGGTGACCCCCCAACCTAAAATTATTTTCGTTGCTAATTCATCACTGTCATTTTGCTACTGTGATGAATTGGGCGACCCTGTGAAAGGGTCCTTCGACCCCCAAAGGGGTCATGACCCACAGATTGAGAACCGCTGCTGTGTGCGATAGAACGAAACTCGGTCCTGTGCCATTCTTGCAGTTGTTCGTATGTTTGAGCCCATTGATGCAGCCACTGTGTCAACCCAACTGGTTGAAGGTCTTCCTCTCTTTCCCTGCCCTTCCACTTTACTAAGCATGATGTCCTTCTCCGGGGACTGGTCTGCTGCCAGCATTTCCAAAGTAAATGAGACCAAGTCTCACCATCCTCGCGTCTAAGGAGCATTCTAGCTGTACAGCTGCCAAGATAGATTTCTTTGTTCATTTGGTAGTCCACACTACTTTCATTATCTTTGCCAGCACCGTAATTAAATGTATCCATTTTCCTTCCATCTTCCTCATTCAATGTATGATTTTCACATGCGTATAAGAAAATTCAAAGTATCATGGCTTATGTCAGGCGTTCTTTACTCCTGTAAGTGAGATACTTGCTTTCCAACAGTGAATGAGTTCTTGCCCAGCAGACGTCCCCAGTACAGTATGTCATTGGATCTCTTGACTGCTGCTTCCATGAGCATTGATTGTGGATCCAAGCAAGATGAAATAAATCCCTGACAACTTCAGACTTTTTTTCGCTTACCGTGATGTTACTTACTGGTCCCGTTGGGAAGATCTTGGATTTCTTCACATTGCATTATAACCCAGAGTGAAAGCTGTGCTCCTAAATTTTCATCAGCAAAGCTTCAGTCCTCGTTTTCAGAAAGCAAGGGTGTTTGGTCTGTCTATGTCAGGTTGTTAATAAACCGTCGTCCAATCCTGAGGCCACATTCTTCTTCAGATAATCTGCCTTCTCGTGATGTGCTCAGCATACAGATTGAACCAGTATGGTACAACGTCATAGCACCTTTCCTGATTTTAAACTATGAATGTGCCCTTTTCTATCTGCATAACTGCCTCTTGATCCATGTGTTACTATTGTATGAGCACAGCATAATGTTCTATGATTCCCATTCTTCTCAAGGCTATCCATAGTTTGTTATGGCCTATACAGTCAAATCCCCAAGCATAGTCAATAAAACTCAAGTAGGCATCTTTCTGGTCTTCTCTGCTTTATGTCAAGATTTATCTGACATCAGCAAGGATATTCCTTGTTCCATGTCTTCTTCTGAATCTGGCCTGAACTTCTGGCAGCTCCTTGTCAATGTACTGCTGCAACTGTTGGGTGATTTTCAGTAAACTTTATGTACATGTGATATCAGTGATGATGTTCTATAGTTTGGGCATTCTGTTGATCACCTTCTTTGGAGTAGTGGATCTTCCAGTGAGTTGACCAAGTAGCTGTCTTCCAAATTTCCTGGCATAGACAAGTGAGTGCTTTCAGTGTTACATCAGCTCATTTGAAACATTTCAGTTGATACTCTATCAATTCCCAGAGACTTATGTTTAGCTAATGCAAAGTTCAGTGCAACTTGAACTTCTGTTTTGGTCCTATTGGTTATTACTCATGTGATGCCTCTTGAAATGGTTGAATGTTGACTAGTTCCTTATGGTACAGTGACTCTCTGTATACTTTTTCCATATTCTTTTGATGCTTTCTGCATCTTTCAATATTCTGCCCATAGAATCTTTCTTT